ATGTGCTATTTATGGCTGGGATAGAGTCAAAATTCTTCAGAGGCTCACAGGGAGCTGTGTTTTGGATTTGTGCTGAACACAGGGATGGTAACATAGGGATGTTTTCATTACCCCTGACCAGGGCTTGCAGTGTCAGGGCCTTTTCTGCTCCTCACACCACTCCACCAGAGAGTGGGCTGGGGGTGCACAAGGAGCTGGGAGGTGACACAGCCAGGACAGCTGACCCCAGCTGACCCAGGGGACATTCCAGACCATATGGCATCAGGCTCAGCATATAAAGCTGGGGGAAAAGGAGGTGGACATGAATGATGTAATTTGTCGCTGGACAAATGGCAGTGGATCTCTGCTGTCCTGTAGATGGAAGAACACCTGCCTGCTGATAGGAAGTGGTAAATGAGTTATTAGTTTTGCTTTGCTTGAGTGCCTTTTGCTTTACCTATTAAACTGCATTTATTTCTATCCAGTTTTCTCACTTTTACTATTATGATTCTCTCCCCCATCCCACTGTGGGGGAGTGAGCAAGTGGCTGTATGGGGCTTAGCTGCCAGCTGGGGTTAAACCTTGATACTGCAGAAAGTCAAAAACTCGATCAAACAATAGGCAGCAGCTTATTCAGAGGGATGAGTTCACACCTGACAAACAACTTAGGAAAGCCTGCAAGTCTAAATTCCAGTGAGGCTGATGAACACATGCATGTCTCCAGTCCACTGCTGACCACCCTATAGCCTAAGGACACAACAACAGCCATGAATGAGAAGGAGAAGGAAGAAATCCATCTTCATCTTACCTGGAAATTTATCATTGACCCTTCTGGTGACACAGCAGTTAATTGAAATGATGGGAGTCCAAACAGCCCAGCAGACCCCAGGATTGGTAGGCAATACAGAGTATACATCTGTATTGCCTACCAGTGAGATGAGATGGTCCTTTTGGAAACCTTTCATCCTTTTTCTGGCATATTTTGGTGCTGCTAGAGTTTGTCACCAACTTGAGTGTTCTGAATGTTCCCCAAACATCCAAAAGCAGAGAGAGATTTAGGTGGCAGTCAGCATTGCTGACACCAAGTATGGAGACAGCCAAGTTAGTTCCACTAGTCCTAAGGAACACAATGGCAGTGTTCGTGGCACTGATGTACCTAGGACCCAGAGTGCTGGGACAGGCAAAGAACTGCTGCAGTGGTTAAAGCAGGAAACAAAATGCTTACAGCACTTCAGAGGCTGGACTGTTTCAGAGGATGACCAAATCAGATGCCTCTGTGGTAATCACAATCTGACAGAACTTGACTTGTCTGGAAGGGAGAAGACAGAGAGACACCCTTGGAATGGCTTTCTTAGGAGGATGGCCAATGGCAGACCAGAGATAAAGCAGCTGCATTCACCTGAATGTTTCCCAGCCCACAATATCCACTGAGTCTCACACCACGGAAAACTTCAACTGCATTCTCAAGGAGAGATTTTGAGTAGTTCAAGCTCACCATCCCTTCTAGGTTTTAAAGAACACCATGTGGAGCAAGACCTTCTCTGTCACATTAATTAAACCTGTACATGTGTCAGAAGACAAAATTCAGCCCCAAAACAGGGGCACACCCAGGGTGTAAAAGAGTGTTGGGAAATAGCAGCAAAAAGAAGGGGAAGCACAGTTTCCCTTCCTGAAAATTCAGAGTGGCAGCTGGGCAGCAGAGAGCAAATGAACCTACATGAGAATTAGCCACCTTCCACACTTGCTGAGCAGGAAGCTGAGCACAACCCCTAATGAACATGCTTCTGGCCTCAAGTGGTTATTTGAATCAAGGCCATTTGAATAATTTGTGAACTATCACTTCAAAAAACAAAAAAGCAGTTGGAACTTTATACTAAATAACCAAAGTGCAAACTTGAAAACTATGTCTGCCCATTTACTGCCTCATTTGTGCTTGAGTTCTACTCGAATTTGCACTTAATTGGATTACTATAGCTAATGACAAAATGAGGTGTTAAATACATATATTTCTGTAGTCAATTAAATTCAACTTAAATCCCAAACATGTACAAAGTTATGACTGATCAGAGCACAAAGCTACTCAGCAGAAACTCAGCACGAATAAACTTAGGGAAAACTCCTCCCCACAAATACATTGGGCCACTGACAGCTCCTCTGACAGAGCAACACTTAACTTATGATAAGTTCCACAAAATTACATTTCTTAATAATTTCAGATAGGAAATAAACAAAACTAAAGTGATCTAGATGAACTGAAAACCAAAATAAATTAACCAAGAGGAAAAATATACAGTCATACTTCACACGAATCTGTATACACAGGATTGTGATTTACAATAACTTATGTGAATATGTGCATATTTTTTGTTTACTTGTTTAGCTCAAAACATGTATTTTCTTTTTTTCGGCAGCCTTCAGAGTCTAAAGCTTCAAATAAATAATTTTGTTTACTTCATATTACCAAGAATGTGATCTATTCAGGCATGTAAGAAACTAAAAAAATCCCATAGGCGCAGAGGACAGTTTTAATTTGAAAAGACTAACTTTATTACCTCTGTTATTTATGTATCAGTTTTTATTTTTCAATTTCCAGCCATAAGAATTTAGGCTAGAAGCCAAAAGTTAAGTCAAATCTCTCTCTGATTCTGAGGTGCTTGAAAGCTGAGTGCTACCACCACATAAACCTTTGTAATCCCATCCCTTTCAGAGTACATTGCTAAGTTTACCCTAGAGAATTTATCTTCCTTTATGCAAAGACCTTACCAGGCCACACGTGAGAACAAATGCCTAAGAGCAGAGGTTAGCTTGTCTTTAGCTTGAACACATCCATCACAAAAAATCATCCAGAGCAGTATTAATGTTGTGAGACCAACAGCAACAAGAACAGACAGCTATACCTTACTTGCCAAGTTTTTCACATTTGGATGACAATACCACTTATCTATGACACACTAAATAGAAATGCATAAGAAATACTTACTAGAAGGTCTAGTTTGTTTAAAAGTCTCTACAAACATTTGAAGGTCTGCTATCTAGCCACTTATGTTTTATCTCTTCCACCTTTTACAAATACATAGAGCAGTTCTAGTGCTCATATGAGACTGTTTATAATAAACCTTCTGAAATATGAAGCCAGCTACAAGTTAGGAGAGAAAAAAGCTGAGCAAAATATGGACAAGATTTACAAAATCGTGAAAGCAGTCGATAAGGTGAGTGTAGAACTGCTATTTAACGATTCACAGTGCTTGAGCTAGGGCTGTTTCCTGTTGAAAATGGGAGGAAAATTAGAAATTGAGGAGAAAAGATAAAATCTGTATTTTTAACGTTATTCCTAGTGAACTACTGCAACTTGCTGCCAGAAAATGTTGGGTGCAAGTAGCATTTAATCAACTGTACTCATAGATAACAGCTCCATGAATGTCTAGATAATAAAGGGATGAGGCAGACATCCCTAAATTCAATGTATGTGGACTTCATAAGGGGAAGACACTAAAGAAATTGGCCAGGTTTATGTGGTATCCTTTAACAGTACATCCTACTCCCTCCATGGGAGGCCAAATGCTGGGCCAGAGAGACCCTGCTGAGATCCACTTGGGTATGTCTTCTGCTCTCTAATCTTTAAAAAGTTTTGAAGTTCATTGTTTTGAAAGATAATAAACCTTCCAGGACAGAGCATCAACAATTTACAACACTGTTCACAGATGTGTCACAGGTCACCATCACTGAAAGGTGAATGCCTACCCAGAAAAAGCCAAAGCACTGACACCAGATACCAGAAGATATCTCTACTAAATCCAGCAGCTCAAGGAAGTGAGGCTGGTGCTGCTCCATGCCCCCAGATCCAACCAGTAGCAAGGCTGAAAACGTTTCCCCAAGAGAGACATATATCAAACCCCCTGCCCCCCAAACATACATACATACATTCATACATATGGCTGGACATACAGATCCTGGACAGACACTCTGAGCACTCCTACCTTATCCTGCTCCTTGATCTGGCTAAGCAGGGCAAAGGTTCACTAATGGAAATATTTCTACATCTCCAAGGTGGATTTCACCAGCAGCTTGGCTCAGAAACTCAGTCTGCCCAGTAGCCACCCCTGGATCCCAGACTCCTCAGCTGCTGCACCTGGACATATCCCTCAGGGTTGCAGCCCAACTCCAATTGCTGGTACAGAGCATCCACACCCCCCAGAAACTTTTGTCCTGCATCTCCTGATGTGTCCCACAACCCCAGCTAGCAACACTGTTATTCCAAACAGTGAACTGCAGAGCTGCTCCCTGACTCCACATGGTGACAGTTTCACTCCTGGACACAGGCTGGGGCTCTGCAGGAACAGGCCTGAGAGGAAACTGGGCAGCATTACTCTCTCTGAGTCCTTAATTTGTGTTTCTCCCTGCCCCTTTGCTCCTCTAAGCTGTGGAGATGATCTCTCATGCCTCTCCCATGACAGGCCCAGTAGTAATCTGGCAAAGTTCTGTTTGGGCTCCCCACTCTGTGTCTGGGCATCCTCATGTATCACTGCAGTCAGCCATTTTTGAAATGCAATGAGTTTGCACCAGCTTTCTAAGCTCTAACACACAGATTAAATCTGCCACAGGTCATCTGTTTCTTAAAATAAGCTGTGAGGATCAGTCTCTTTCCTCAGCATCTTGCTGGAAATCATCACATGTTGCTCACCATAAACTGAGTACAGTTGTTAACGATTAGGTAAACGACATAAACAACTAAGGGTTAGCACAGGCTGTGGTCAGCAGTGTGCATGGCCCTGATGCTACAGCTTCAGCAATCTCATCAAGGTCAAGGCAGCTACTTGAGTGGATAAAACAAAACCTTTGTGTCTCAGCTGAAGTGGGACATTACAGACACAGCCCCTGATCTGCAGACAGACATGCCTGGGGCCTCATCCAGTGCCCAGCCCAACCGAGTCTTTTCACTGACACAGGAAGGCTTTGGACCAGTCTCTAGGACTACAATCCTTCATTTACTTTCTATTTTATTTTTTGGGGGTGGTTATTACCTCTCTGTTGGTCTTCTGTTCCATTAAGTTGTTTTTGTGCTTCTTCAATTTTGTCTGCAAGAAAAAGAGGTCACTATTAAAATACATATATAAAAAAGGCAAGATTGCAGTAAGTCATTTACTGAAATCAGTCTTGAAATATCTGTTTATATTTAGGAGTGATATCATTCATGTATAACTATGTGGTACATTATGAGTAATACAGCCATATAAAATTTTATCATGTTTTACCAGAGAGGCTATTGACATGTTAAATTACACGGAACCACTGAAAGAAAAGCACTGGCATCGGATCTGCAGTTAACAGCAAATCCCACTGCAGCTTCCTACCATCTATAATAATGTGTGCAGTCAGGGGACTCTTTGGAATAGGTATTATGGTGCATTACAGAGTGTTTTAATACATTTTTGAAAAATGCTGTTAGAGCAAGTCAATGTTGCATTAAACATAGTGAGAAGAACAGCAAACAGCATTTGCTAAGTGAAGCAATGGAGCCAATCCTCTCACATGGGAGCACAGGGGGTGAGTGGTAGCCCCCACCTTATTTCTTTGTGAAACAACCAGAAGTTCCCACATGCACAGAGCAGGAGCAAAAGGGGGCCCTGAGTCTTTACTCCCAGTCTGTCTTTGCAGTTCACTTGCTGCCCCTCAGACACACTGGTGTTGGAAGGAGAGCTGTGCTTCACCTGCTGTTGCACAGAAGCTCCCATGGAAAGGGGGGTCCTTGCTCTGCATGTGTGCATGTTTGCATGTGCAGGGCAAGAAGCAAGAAAAGGTGTAACTGGACTGAATAAAAATTTAAGACCAAATCTTCTTTTGGTAGCAAACAGTTCTCTGAGTAGGTTCAGGATAAAAGGTTGTGTTGGTAAGAAGTAGCAGCACCGGGAGAGGCTGAGCTCTCTTGGTGCTCTGAGCATCAAACTATGGCCTGACTGACCAAGATCTGAGCTTGGAACACGGCTTTCAGTTGTAAACGGTCATTTTCTAAAATACCTGTGAAAACTTTTTTCCTTGTATTATTTTTTTTCTTCTTTTCCCCTGGTGGGGTCAGTTTTTATTGAACTAAATTGAAAGAACAGAATGTAACTGGATTAATCCTAAATCTCCCAGACTCTATTGGTGCAACTCAAGAAATGCCAGACTTCTGGCCGCCATATACAAGAGGAGTATGACAGCTCTGCAAAGCCCTCAACTCTTTCTTTGCAAGCATGGAGGCTTTTCTCACTCTGACTTTTACAACAAAAGCTTTCAAAAAATGGATATTTCTTCAACACAATTCTTAAAAAGTGGGTTTAAATGACTTCTCTTTTATTTATCAGCTGAATCACTCAAGCATGTTGGAACCATTTATTTACAGTTGAAGTCTGATATGGTTTCTTGATTTTTTCCTCCACAGAACCAAATAATTACAACTGAATCAAACTCTTGCAGCTTTTAAGACTGAGTTTTATTGAGCTCACTCTGGTTCTGCATTCCTGTTTTTCAGAACAAGCTTCTCATTAAAGCTCAGTAATTTTTCTGTTGTACGTTGTCCCAGAGAATGGACCACAAGATCTCACAAGGGTGCTAACTGAGCGGACTCCCAAAGCTTCTCATGAGAAAGAAAGACACCACAGCAATTTGAAAAGCCAAACTTCTTCCTTCTTCCCCTGGGGTTAGTGAGACATGCATACATATTTAATGGGAAGTTTTATCACATTTTCTTTTATACTGACTTACTGGCTGCTGAAGACCAACACAACTCAAAAAGAGCACAATCCTTCACCATCTCTTTACCAAGCCAGTTATGCAGGCTTACTTTAAACACAGAAGACTCAATATTTAATACTTTCCTGGATTAAATATTACAGCTGAAATACTAAATGTATTCATACCTTTTTTTTATAGAAAGGGATGTAAATAACCATTTCCAACAAAAAAAGGAGGAAATGTAAACAAAGCATCTTTTATATACGTGTCACTAATACTCTTAGAGGAAAATGTATCTAGCAATCTTATACAGTTTTTCCAGACTGTTGCTTTACAGGTGATGGAAATAAACAATTCACAAAGTTGCAGGACAGTTGATAAAATATATGAACACATAGGGAAAAAAAAAATCAACAAATTATCCATGTAAATGGAGCTGTAGGTTTTAGCAAAAGGCAACAAGAAATCAAATCTATAGTTTGGCTCTCAAACTCACTTTCCCTATGTTAGAGATATATTTAGTGCACAATACATGGTGTTTCTGTTCTCAGAGTAAATGTTTTGTCAACAAAACTTACATCTAAGTACATAGACAACTGCAGTTTTATTATTAAAATTATTATCTGCATATTTCACATAAATGCTACAAGAAATATATGCATTTACATTCACAATCATCCCACTTTTTAGAGAAAAATTACTTAAGTATTTCAGAATCACGCTATATGAGAATGCCAGAAAGATTAAAGGCTTTGATCTCCTTAACTGAATGCTCTGTCTCTTATTGGAAAAAAAAAATTAGTTCCTATCAGTAATTCCCAACCATTCCTTTGTCAGACTGTAATCTCAAACAAAGAACCACAGATAACAGAAATAATAGCTAGGTAAACAGGTGACTGGTACACAGCCAGAAAGTCTCCTACACTTCCTGCCTCTCCTGATACATTTTCCCCAAGGAGTTATTTCTGCTGTGTGTATTTCTTCATACCTATGGTGGTATCTCTGTGCAGAACAGTTTTGAACATTCTGAATACTGAAAAATCTTGGTGTTAGCGCTGGAAAACTAAAGCAGTGATCTGGACTGTAAATGAGACATGGGTATTAACATCAGTTTGGGGCTAAATGTTTTTTTAGGGCCTACATCCTCCTAATGGCCAGCATCACACGCTACCTGCTCTGGCTATTGCACCAAGGGATGTCCAAACCATTGTACAAAATCTGCGGCAGCTGCTTCCCACCCTGCTGCATTTTACAGCTACAGATCCTACACAGGCAACTGCCTAATAGACTGCTGTGTTTCAGGCTGGAGGGAAGAACTGGATATCCCTACGGGCCGTGGAGCAGGTGGCAGGAGCAGGCTTAGAGCCAAGTACCCCAGCAACACCAAAAGGCAGCCTCCCCAGGTCTTCTGCCAACTCGCACGTACGCCAGCAATAACTTGCTAACAAATTTATATTATCCAGTCATCTCCTTCTCTTGTGTGCCATTAAATTAGCTGTATGTCAAACATCTTAAGGAAAATTATTTCAGACATCATACCACGTTCTGTCATAATTGTATTATAGGTGCTCTAAGGGTACATACCTTTGAAAATGCTTTATAAGCAAAAAGACACCACACAAAAAATCATCTGTAAAGCCCAGGAGGAACTGAAAACCAAGAAATCCTCCATTTAATTGCAAATAATATTATCCAATCCAATAATTGTTTGGTCTAATATTATTTCAGAATTGAACCTGGGATACTGTCTAACCTGAACATTTTACAAAGGAAACATTTGCTTATCAATGAAATATTATCTACTTCTACTAGAATAAAACCATTTAACTAATGGGAATTTCTAGTACATGATAGATATTGCACTCTCTTCATTTCCCCTAAGAGCCAGAATAGTACACATCTTGACTACTTTACTGTAAGACCTATCCCAATGGCCCCAACCTTCAGCAGCCTTCTGGAGTAGCACATATCTAGAAGCAAATGACAGTGACAGACACACTCTCACTGAAGATGGGACACTTCTCACCAGGCACTTACTAGTGGAGGTGCAATGGAAGAGGAAATCATCATATGCATCACTGTAGAGAACGGAGATTTCATGTGATAGCACTGCAACAAGCCACAGAGCCAGCTTTTGGCCATTCCAGGCAGGGGCATGCCACAAAAATGCAAATCACAAGCAGCATCATGAAATTATTTTATTTATACATTATAGATATAAATTATACACACACACACACACCTGCATATGTGTAAAAGAAAATGAAACAACGTGTACAATGGCTTTTCTTACTCCAGCATGAAATCTTCTCACATTATTCTCCACCACAGCTCTCCCAGCAGGTATCTGCTGTGTGGAAATACCATCAAATTCCTTGAGGTTTTAAATATGTAATGTAACTGTGCTTTTTAGGAATGCAAGGAAGGAGACTGGCGTGCAGTAAAATATGCTTCTTGTTTTACACACCTCCTGCTGTGATAGATCATTACAAGGATACCAACAGTCTGAATTAGATATGGTGGCACTGTGGTGGGGTTTTAAATGAAAAAATAAACCAGATTTTTCAACAGCTTTACAGTCTCTATTTTTGGTCTTCACTGAGAGATAGAACCTCAGAGATTTTAATTAATTCATAAATAAAATGTAATTTACAGGGTTTTTTTCAAAGAGATTATCCCAATAATGTATAAAACCCTGAATATGTCTAGTATTCTATGTATCAGATATGCATTACAAATTTTCAGAGATCTTAAAGGCCTCACTTATATGGTGAGTTAAGGAAAATAAAGATTTTTTAACTTCAGCAGGGAAAGCAAAAATACTGAAAGGTGTGAGGTTGGCAAAGTATAAAACCAGTAACTTATGACAGCAATTTAAGCTGGAGCACACTACATTTTCTAGTAAAGAGTTTGTGGGTTGGTTTGTTTCATCTCTCTGGAGTTTTTTCCACTGACAAGTGTCCCCACAGCAGCCTGATGAGATGACTTTGTCCTGTTGAACAAGTCACCCCGCCCCACACAATGACAGCACACAGAGGAATTAAGTCACTGAGGAAGACCTACTTTAAAGCCTCCAGGAAAGCTTACAAGGGAGTGGTTGGTGTAAGTTCATTAAGTTCTTGCAAAGCACCCTAACAGGAGGATTTTTCATTGCATATATTTGCATGTGTCTGTATCACTGCAAATACAGGGATTTTTTGGCTTATTATTGAAGATGTACAGTTGCTGCTCTGAAACAATAAGTGTTTTGTTGGATTTGGTTTTTTAATCACAAATACTCTGAAAATTAGCAGATTTAGACCATTTTGGATGCTGAAAACAGGCTATGACATCAAAAATTTGAAAAACACAGGCTTATATCTTG